ACCAATTATCCTGGTGTGCTCGCATTACATCATCCATTGATGTCGCAGCACTTGCCTGCCCCCACCCACCTAACTACCCACTCTCGTCATATTTCGTGCTCTAATTTATGTATACTTGCCAAGTACGAGTATGAATGACGTCAGCATATAGAAGTGTTGTTTTTGTGCTACATGTTGCTAAGCACTCAGCAGCAGCAGCAGCAGCAGCAGGCAACTTGTAAGTTCTTCCATAACCAATTAGAATGCGATGAGGGGGGCAGGGGGCGATGCGTTTCCATACAAACACACACACACACACACAATAAAACATCAAATTGTACACTGGGGAGCTTATTAAAAGTAATGAAAGTGTGGCACGTCGCTTTTATACACAAGTGGCAGATGAAGAAGACGATGCATAAGAAGAAGAAGCATTGCAGTGGGGCCATAGTAGTGGCATAGAGTGGGGTGAGATTGCACAGAATTACATAATGCAGTGAGCTAAGTAGATGAAACAATTTCTTTCACTACTCAAGGGAGCTTCGTGTTGGGGCGAGCAAGCCACGCCACGCCAAGCCAAGCCCGCTAAAAGCAACAGTTTGTAGTGTGAATTGAAGAAGAATGTAGAAAAAAGCAAGCGCATTTTATTGTTTTGTTATCCATATTTATATTTTTTGCGTTGCTTATATTTTTTTCTAANTTTTGTGGCATTGCAGGCAACTTCTAGCTGCTTCCTGATGTTTGATGTTTATGTTTGTGAAACTTTGAAATACATACGGTTGCGCTGTGCAGTTGTGGCAAATGCAATTTTCATATCGTTGAAGCTATGCGCACATATTCACATACATATGTACATACGTAGCGTTAAAAAGCCGCAAGTGGCAAAGTGGCAAGTGGTTCTTAATGAATAAACAACTGCTTTAAAAAAGTAAAAATCAATGCGCTAAAAGGATAAAATATTCATGACGATAAAACGTGCATACATGTATTTTTACATTAGGTTGGAAAAATGTTCGCACGTACTTTTGACGAAAAACTAAAAAAATAAGATTAAAATAGTAAAACTAAATAAGAATAAACTAATAAACCTAAATTTAAATAACAAATATAAAACGAAAAAATAAAATTCAATAATAAAAAAATTAAAATCAAATAAACTAATATAGAATAAAATGATATAAAATTAAGCAAAATACAGGAAAATTAAAAAATGATGTAAAATGTAGAACAAAATTGTTAAAAAAAAAAAATATTATACTAACGAATAAAATACAATAAATGTATTGGGAAAAATTAAATAAAATAAGGGAAGGAGGAAAATAAATAAAATAAAATAAATGAAATTAGTAAAAAGAAATTAAATACAAGAAAACAATAAAAAAATAAATAAGAAATTAGTAAAACGTAAAATAAAGAATAAGAAAAATTAAATGAAATAAAATAAAACTGGCGAATTTAGTAAATTAGTTAAGAAATATGAAATTAAATAAAAGAATATTCAATAAATAAAAAATATAAAAAACAAAACAAAAACTAAGTGATAAAAAAGAGTAAATAAAAT